AATCCCATGAAAGAGTATATTCCCCGTTATGTGTGTATTTGGCATACTTCTGCTTCCTCATCGCACATTTCGTCCTGATGAGAAGCATGCACTTCCCAAATTTTCTGGGTGGGGAAGCCACCCAGAAAAGCCTTTTGCTTCAAAATAATAATTGTTTCTTGTTAGTGAGTCGAGTGTGTTGTTTCCAGGAAGACTCGCACTTGAGGTTGGCCAACACTGTCTTGCAGGTTTTCACAACAGGGTCAAATGCTTGTCCTCGGAGTTTACGAGGCACAGTTTCGGCATCCTGGCATTTCCAGCTGGAATGGAGACACGTGCGGGTGTCCTGGGGCATTCTCATCAGCATTAGCCAAGGCTTTTAATACCCTTTCACCAACGTGTCAGCATCTTTTTGGCAGGGCTACAGGTGGGGGAGGAAAAGGAATGCTGATGTGGTTGATGTTCATGAGCGAGTTAACAATTTCATGGTTTCTTAGCCTCATTGCAAGAGAAAGCACATGTTGCCTCAGAAAATGTCACATGTGGGAGGCTCACAATGGCTGAAATTAGAGATAGGCACAAAATGCTGGCTTGGCAGTTCATACTGGTTTATTTTTCAGCCACACAGGTTTTCAGTGGTTCCTCAGACGTGGCACCCACTCAGAGGCAGCACCATGGCTTCCCTGCTGCACCTCTTCTAGTGCTGCCTCTTGAGTTGACCTGTTGGAGGAGATCGGAGTGGGAACTGATGAACACCTGTTTGGCCAAAAAAAAAAAAAAAAAAAAAAAAAAAAAAAAAAAAAACACACAGAAACCACCAAACCAGCGATTTGTGTCCGTCTGTAGATAAAATCCTGTCATTTAGCATAGTAAGTCACACTAGAGTAATCCTGTTGTATCAGTAGTGTGCTGGTAAGTCAACTCTTTCACAACTTTCATTGATTCAAATGAGCCGACTCTAGTTGCAGCTTCCCTTATTTAGTATATTAATTTGCAACTCTATTAGGCCCATTTGAATCAATGGAACAGATTACACGTTCTCTCCTTCTTACATTGATTAATCTATAAGGTGAGTGAAGAGAGAGGTTTCCTGAAGTAAAGGAATCTCAGAGATAGTGGCTTTAATGTCATTAACAAGCCAAGCTCCTGCATTTATCTTTCCTTCACCATCAAGTTGGAAAGAAAGCTGGGACATCCAGACCACACCCCACAGGCCCATCTTTAAACAGGGGTACCTCGGAGAATAAGTCCTTGGACTTGCGTTGGTGCTTGTTTTGAAACGGATGGCTTTTGGCTGCAACAGATTGCGCTGAGCAACCCTCTAACAAAAAGGCTACCAGCTATCCTCAGAAATGTTTGATTCCTTTTCCCAACTGAAACTTTGCCTGCTTTCCTCTTTCTCTTTTGCAGCTCAAGGCCTTGTGTGCAAAGTATGCAAATTCAAGGTGGGCACACTGTGCTTCAAATCTGACGATCCCTGCAGAGCAAAAGAAGGCCAATACTGTGAAACAACCAAAGTTTATACAGGTAAAGGAAAAGACAAGGATTTGCTCAGTTCTGGGGTTTTGGCTTGTGAGCAGGAGTGGCTGGCACCCTAGAAAGAAAGCCGGGCCTCTCTACAGCTACCCACACCCCGCTCTGTCCTGAGTTCCCCCTACCTGACACATCCACCTATGTTCCTCTCAGGGGTCAGGACTACCTTTTGATTTCATTAGCCAACCATTCATCAAAGGACAGTTTCCTCCACCCAACAACAAGTTGGCCCTTGGACTCTATTTATTTATTTATTTATTTATTCATTCATTCATTCATTCATTCATTCATTCATTCATTCATTCATTCATTCATTCAATTTGTACCCCGCCTATCTGGTCAATACGATTATTACCACCGTTGTGTTGTTATGTGCTAACAAGTCACTTCCAACTTGTGGCAAACCTATGAACGATTGAGCCCCCCCACAAAAAAATTACTATCCTCGGCCCTTAGATCTTGTGATTCTAAAGGCCATGGTTTCTTTTCTCAACTCAACAAATCTAATGCTTAGTCCTTCCTTTTTTCCTACTGCCTTCAAATGACTGTTATTTGTTTGTTTGTTTGTTTGTTTAACGGACTGACACCGTTATTGTCATTAGCACAATTGACAAAGCACTAGCCTAAAATAGCATTGGCTTGGTTCTCTCTCTGTGTGTGTGTGTGTGTGTGTGTGTGTGTGTGTGTGTGTGTGTGTTTGGCTGTTGTTGTTGTTGTTGTTTGGTAGCCACATCAAACTGTGTCCACTTTCCTTTTTCAGAATTCTTCAGAAATCCATGCCCTCCATAGGTACACAAGGCCAAAGTGTAGACCACAGCTGGATCAATTCCTAACATAGAAGGGGCTGTTGTTGCACCTGGTGCACTCAAACTACCACTCATTCTGTTAAAAATTGGGAGCGGCCATCTGCATCATTACTGTTGCCACCGCTGCCATCAAAATATGCTTCTCTAATAATTTTGGCTGCTGTAGTAGCTGTAAAGTGGAGGCAGCCAAAGGTGAAAAACTGACTGGGAGACTCATAAGCAGGACACGTTTTGGTTTTTCAGGAAACCCCCCCATTCCTCCACACCTTTCCTCTACAATCATTCAGCCCTTCCCTTTTAAAAAAAGTCTCAATTTGTAATTTAAAACAAGCAAACAAAAATACAGCAGAAAAGCTTAACATGAATTAATTTAAATTTAAAAATAAGTAGAAATATACTTCCTTGAACAATCCTAATTCTGATTATGATATTTATCTCAGAAATGTGTTTACTCTTTTTTTAAAAAAGACTTTTGAAAATCTTGGTCATATATGCCCTTTGGAATTTATTCTTTATTCTCCTTACTCATGGTATTCCCTCCTGCTTCCCCATTTGAGAACTGATGGTATCAGGCCACAGACACCTGACAGAAGGCTGTTCGTCCTATAAATTCCACAAGGTGGAACCAGCGTTACAGTCATTCTCATTCCACATTGCTTCTCTTCCCTCCCTTTTCCTTTTGCTTTCCCACCAGGTCATATCATGCTCTTCACGAAACACGGCTGCAGCAAACATGCGGAACTTTGCAACAAGACTGAGCAAAGGGACGACGTCTTCGACATGAACTACAACCGCACGTGCTGCGACTATGACTTATGCAATGGGGGAATCGTCAGCAATCCCAGTCTCCCATTTTTAGCTGGCATCAGCATGGCATTCGGTTGGTGGCTGGCCCATTAATCCTGAAGATTCACGGAGACACTGTTGTCGTAGCAGAAGAGGCAGCCCAGAAGCCAGGCCTCCTCTCCCCTTTTACCAAAAGGTGGGGAAGATTAGCTTGTAGACTGTCTGAAGGCATTGAATGCCTTTTTAGTTCCCTGCCACTTCACTATTGAATAGGCTAAATTCATCTTCTGCCACAAGCCTTGTCAACAAAATTCTAAAACCACTGCTTTTTTTACTACTTCCTCCAAGGGACTTTCTCCCTCCCTCCCTTCCTACCTTCAGTGAACCCTAAAGATTTGCTCTGATCTTTAGCTGAACTTAGAGGACTGTCTGGCACCCTTCCACACCACAGCAACATTGCAGTTGCTGTTGAATTATAGTCACAGGGATGGCACAGAAAGGTGTGGCCCAAGTAGGGTTTGCGGGAAAAACCCAGCCCCAATTTCAAGAAGTTACCCACCTCTGCCAGTGACCTTTTATTCTCTCAAGGGGCTCAAGACTTCACGGTCTCATTTCCCCACCCACCCATGGAGTCAAAGGTCTCCCACTACTCCTTCTTTTAATGGTGACCTATACAGTCTGTGGGCCCTCCAATATAAGCTCAGTCCAGCATCTGTGTATGTGTTGCCCCCCTTAGGATCTCAACAGGCCTCCAGTTTTTCTTAGTGAGAAGAACTTTCTAGGCCACTCTGCTTAGTTGACGGTGGGCATGTATGACTCATAGCTTGGAAAACTTCCTTTGGACTACAACTCTCAGAATCCCCATCAAGCAAGGCCAACAAGAGATCCTCGGAAATGTAGTAAAAAGAAATGCTCACACCTTTCCAAGTCCTCCTCATAGGAAGGGCAGACTTCGTCTACTATGGATATTAAGGCCTATCTTCGCTCACATCCACAACACAGGAATATCTGAGGGTAATTAAGACTCTGCTTTTAAAGCATCTTCTATGGATGCTGAAAGTGAAACCAAGAAGAAAAAGGGTTCATGGATCAGAAGGTGTCCTCAATATGCTTCAGCATGTCAAATGGAAACAGCTGGATGCGACTTTTTTATTTGCTCTTGCTTCCATTTCCACTCCTTCCCTTTGTTGTTTCCCTTGAGCCAACGTTTAGATTGTAAGCTTTTAGGGATAGGGATTTGTCCTCTGGCACTTCATACATACAGGGTGCTATGTAAGTAATGATAACTAATAATTGTGTTACTTTTTCTAAATTACAGTAGAACTGAAAGGATTAAAATACTTCATATTGTTTTGCCTTTAAGCTTCCCATTTGCAAATTTCTTCTAACCTCAATTTCTACAACGTTTAGCCTGCTCATACATGATCTGCAGGCAGAAAAGGAGACCAAGTCAACCTAATTGGCCAAGGACTCCATACCCTTCTAACCTCAATTTCTACAACGTTTAGCCTTTTCATACATGATCTGCAGGTAGAAAAGGAGACCAAGTCAGCCTAATTGGCCAAGGACTCCAAACCCTTCAAAGATAAAAGTAAAGGTTCCCCTTGACATTTAGTCCGGTCATGTCCAACTCTAGGGGGCAGTGCTCATCCCCGTCTCCAACCCGTAGAGCCAGCGTTTGTCCGAAGACAATCCTCCGTGGTCACGTGTCCAGCGCGACTAGACACGGAACGCTGTTACCTTCCCACCGTGGTGGTACCTATTTATCTACTCACATTTTTACATGTTTTCGAACTGCTAGGTTGGCAGGAGCTGGAATGAGCGACGGGAGCTCACTCCCTCACGTGGATTCGATCTTACGACTGCTTGGTCTTCTGACCTTGCAGCACAGAGGCTTCTGCAGTTTAACCTGCAGCACCACCAGGTCCCCCAAACCGTTTAGGTTAGATTAAAACAAAAACCAAAGTGAAGAGTAGAGATAGGCACAAACTGTTGGTTCAGCAGTTTGTGCCAGTTCATTTATTGGACAAACAAGTTGAAGGGTACCAAGACTATGTCTTGGCATTTTGGTGGCATTTATGCTTCAGAGTCCCCTTGTGGTCGCCAAAATGAAGGCTACTAAGACCATTTCCTGGTTTTTCCCTGTCTCTATGCGTTAAATCAATCATCCAGAGACAGAGAGATGCAATAAATATTTGTTTATTTTCAGCTGAAAGCAAGCAAATAGACACAAACCTCACACGTAGAAAACATGCAGAGAAGAAGCACGCCCCAGATACAGAAGTATATGTTTTTATCAGGCATAACATGAAAGAGGGTCTAAGGGGGGGTTGGGAGGAGGAGGAGGAGAAAGGAGAGGAGATTCTGCAATTGGTAGGAATTCTTGCAAGAGCACAACTGTGGGCAGTAATTCATTCCTCTGTGTCTGATGCCCAACGTCTCCAAGAACGGCTTTCTAATTTAGAAATACCTCAATTGGAAATTGTAAGAAACTCAGAAGGACACCCCCTTCTTACTTGTTCATTCTTGCCTGCCTAAGCACCTGGACCCTTCACGCACGGCAGGAGAGGAAGGTGAACACCTTCCATATGCGTTGCCTTCGACAGATTTTTGGTATCACCTGGCAGGACAAAGTTCCAAATACAGTAGTCCTAGAACGAGCTGGAATTTCTAGCATGTATACAGTACTGAAACAGCGACGTCTACATTGGCTTGGGCCCATCGTGAGAATGGCTGATGGTCGGATTCCAAAGGATCTCCTGTATGGAGAATTAGTGCAGGGAAATCGCCCCAGAGGGAGACCACAGCTGCAGTACAAGGACATCTGCAAGCGGGATCTGAAGACTTTAGGAATGGACCTCAACAGATGGGAAACCCTGACATATGAGCGTTCAGCCTGGAGGCAGGCGTTGCATCACGACATCTCCCATTTTGAAGAGACCCTTTTCCAGGTGGCCAAGGCAAAGAGGAAGTCACAAAAGCAGCAAAATCAGGGAGCTGGACAGGGGACAGATTGGATTTGTCTTCAGTGTGGAAGGGATTGCCACTCTCGAATCGGCCTCCTCAGCCACACTAGATGCTGTTCCAAGTCCTCCATACAGAGCACGTTACCATAGTCTCTCGAGACTGAAGGATGCCTAGCTAAGCAAAACTTAATATACCTGGTTGTCACATTTATATAGCAAAGCAAGTTACAGAAAGCAAGATGGCTATGGTTAGGTTAAGATGTATTTTATATGTATTAATTGGACCCCTTCAAAGTATCTGGCACTTCAACGCCCTGCTTCCTCTCACAGGCACCCACTCAGAGGCAGGACCTGGAGAAGGCAGGGCAGGGCAGCTGGCAGATTCGCAGATAATATGATAAAGGGACAGTAGAAAGAAGTAAGAAATCTATCATACCTCTGTATCCCAAGCATTAAACACAGAATACAGACACAAAATGAACACACAGGAATTATTATTTATTATTATTTAAAATATTTGACCCCGCCTTTCTCCTTGAAACGGACCCAAGGCAGTTTACAATAA